TTTCAAGATGCTGAGGAAATCCAAGAGAATGTGACAAGCCAGCTACTTGCTATCCCAAATAATAAAGTTCCAGGAATGCTTCCTTAAATAGAAATGACACTGGATAAAGTGTGTGGCTTCAGAAGTGGACTATTTCAAATGAGATTAAATGAACCGATATGTGTTGCAGTTTTCTTTTTATAGCACTAGTCGGGATACATTTTGATCTGACCTCATATAGAATATATGAGGTCGGATTAGCTTTTATATATTTTTAGGTTATTTTCTTTTAATACACTTTTAGATTGGATTTTATATATATATTTTAGATCATATTTTATGCTATATTCTATATATTTTTAGATATCTGTCTATATTTCTGAGATGAAATATTATGTACATTATTTACATAAAAATGGTTGCTGAAGACATTAGGTTTATAATACCAAGAAATTCATACACAGATGTCCTCAAGGACACTGGATAAGGGTGTTGGTTAGATCCAGTGACAAGATCGAAAGAGTGTGAGTTCAATACCTGGTTAAGGCGGTGGAGAAGTTGAAGAGGGAAATTAACAGGAGATAACTGATAACTGACATCTATTAGACATGGCACGTGGAACTAGAACAGTCTACCCCAGTGAGTGAAATAAAGGGTTCAGTTCAACATTCCAACCACTTGAAGAAGGCCGAAGTGTACAAAGGCTGAAATGTTGTAATAAAGATTTGTAGTAAAGATTTTTAGATATATTTTCTATAAAATATTCTATATTCTTTTAAATTTTAGTAATAATAAAAATCAATGATACCTATCAAAATATGTAAAATTAGTAGAATAAAAAAAGTATTTCACAGTGAGCAGAATTATTGTTAAAGGGTTCAATAGACAAAACTCAAGTGACTGTAGTCAATAAATTAATAAAATTCCCATCAACTTATCTTCTGAGTAATTTCAGTTTTGCACATACACTGCTCATCAGGGTCAGATAAATCTACTGAATTATCACCAGATAATCATTTATACCTAACATAAGAATCATTAATCATAGATTCCAAACAAATTTGAAATTTTAATATGATAAAATCCATTAAGAATGTGATAAAATTTAACCCTGTGTCAGTCACCTTCGATTCATGAAAATGGATAGTTCCCTGGTGTCTTCCTTCCATGACAACTGAGCAACAACTGTTACACACCCTCACCATGTCAGGTATTTGGAAGGAGTAAAAGAAACAACTCAGAATTACAATCACTTTAAAAATTTGAGGGTAACAAATTCAGACTAATGCAGGGTTAAATATTCAGAAACATGATAGGATGAGTATATTAAAGCTAAATTTCCAATGAAGCTGCCTTCTGTTCACCATCTACAAATATTCTTAAGGAAAACCACCGGGATTATATCTGGGATGGTTCAAGGCTTTTGATTAGTCTTGAGATTTACCAGGCTGGGATAAAAATATTACTAGATTTGTGCTCCATGAGAAGGGTACGATTATTGTCAACTAACGTAGAGTTAAAGGCAAAGATGAATTTTTAAAAGCTTTGCCTCATCCAAGTCAGTCAAAAGCAAACAAACTGGTTCCAGTTAGTTCTGAAACATCTCTAACCAAATTTTCAATACAGGCTAAGTGTCAGAGCCATCATCAGAGTAATGTCATATAACTACTCTGATGATCGCTCATGTGAGCCAAAAGCTTAAATCGAGAAAAAGCATAATAAAAAAATATCCAAATGTTGGACAGTTTTTGTCTTTATTTTCTCCCGAAATTAAAGCAACTATATGAAGCATAGAGTGGCTCATGATCAAACATAATAGACATTCATTGTCTGTTATATTTAACAATATGTTTGTTTGTGTGTGCATATATATATATATATATATATATATATATATAGCATAATGAGAAGCCACATATACTTTCTTAATATGTATATATAGAAAAAATTGCAAATTAAAAAAATAATGTTTTTTTATGAAAGTATTTATTTATATATATTTGATATTTCAGATTGACCTTTCTTCAGAAATAACTGTTTTTAGAGGTTTGTTTACAAGTAGTGTCGTTTCTAAAGCATAGTTTTCTAATGAGTATCCTGACTGATTAAAGTGTTCAGCTATGGGGGGAATAAGGATTGTTTTCACGAAAACTGTAAATGTTTGATAGATTCTGATTTCAGTACCACATGCACATGCAAAAAAAAAAAAAAAAAGAAAAATACTGGATTTTAAAATTAAATACATATAAACTAGGGTTAAATAAAGACTTGGGTATTTTAAATCTTTATAAATATTTCAATAGTTAAACATTTTTTTTAGATATAGTTAAAATTTTTTTTAAACAACATCTAAAATATTATTACAGTTAGATTTACATTAAGAATATTTGAACACAGTGGCATTCCATATCACGTGACATCCGCATCTCACGACAGATGCTACTTGTAAACAAACCTCTAAAAACAGTTATTTCTGAAGAAAGGTCAATCTGAAATATCAAATATATATAAATAAATAAATACTTTCATAAAAAACATTATTTTTTTAATTTGCAACTTTATATATATATATATATAAAAACGTATATATAATGTGTGTGTGTATGTATATATATATATATATATATATATATATATATATATATATATATATATATATATATGTGTGTGTGTGTGTGTGCATTTGGGCAGCGATCTCACTTTTAAAGAAATTTCATTAAAAATGTCTGACATGGTACTGGGGTTAAGTTTTTTTTTTTATTTAATTTTTCTTATGTTCTTATAATTTTCTTCTTTTCTGGATGTAAATTATATAGGAAAAATAAAAATAATTCAATTCCACCTCCATCCATCAAACATAATATTCTCAAAAAATGATTGCATGCCTACACAACTAAAGCCCACTTCTACAACCATAATGGCCAAATTTGCACTCAAACTAATGGAGTAAGCATGGAAAATCCTCTCAGTCTGTGCTTCTCTATTACATGTCCCATGTAGAAAAAAGGTATTTCAAAAAGTTATTAAACTTGAAATATATGTCCGCTACGTAGATGATATTTTTAATTTAGCCGAGAACAAAGATAAAATAGATAATCTCAAAAAAATTAATTCCTATTCTTGAATATTCTCATGGAGTCTCGTAATAATACATTCACTACTTTCTTATATAAAAAAACTCACAAGTACAAACACTTGCCACCTTAACTTTGCTAGTAAATGTCCTCTTACATATAAAATAGGTGTTATGAAAAATTTCCTCATGAGAGTGCACAAGAATTCATCCTCTCATCCACTATTCTTTAAAGAACTTAATGTGAAACAAATGCTAGCTAATAACGGTTTTCCAAATCGTCTCATAGATCACCATATTAGACTTTTTCTTTCTAAGGTAACCACTAGCAACACTGATCATACAGAAAAAAACAAAAACAAGAACATTTTCTACAAAAATCAACAGGCCAAATCTTCTCTTTGAAACATTATAAAGAAATAAACAGTGCCAGTCAACAAAAACAAGAAAATTAAATTATCGACTGTAAAAAATTTAAAACCTCATTGTCAACAATAATAATTCACCTACAAGATCCAAATTACAGAGAACCAGTATTATTTATGAATTCACATGTTTCTTAAGGAACTGTGTTCTTGACAAATCCAAATTCATAAATAATTATATTGGATATACTACAACATACCTAACAAGAATACATCTCTCTGACCATAGCTGAATTAAATCTCATTAAGGACACCTAACAAACTCCATCTGCAACAAACATATTTGTTGACAATACTAATATAATAGCCTGATCCACATGTATAAAAAGGCTAAAAATAATGGAAACATTATTAATAAAAAAGAAAAAGCCAACATTCAATATTATCAACTATGAACATGGCCACAATGTGCTGACCATGTTTGGAAAATAAAACATTTCTATAACTCTAGATACATACATAAAACAATGCATACATTCAGTTAAAAAGTAAAAGTGAAATCATAAAGTAATGTTGATATCAGATGTTTCCTTACATTATTGTTTTGACATTGCAGACTGGTTGTTCTGGATGGTGGATTAGGACTTAGTTATTGTTGTTGTGTTTCTTTTTGATGTCTTCTTTTTTTCTTTACTTCGGCTGGTCATTTGGATTTGAAGATTGTTGTTCCATCCCTGATGATGGACCTGCAGAGATTCCTGTCTATTGCACTTGATTCCCAACTGTTGATGTCGATGTTACATTTCTTCATGTTTTTGTTTTAGAATGTCTTTGAATCTCTTCTTTTGAACTTCTCTTTTCTGATTTCCTTCTTCGAGTTGCAAGTAAAAGATTTGCTTTGGTAACTGATCGTCATCCATTCACATCAGATGTCCACTCCATCGAAGTTGATTTATTATGACAATGGCTTCAATGCTGGTCATTTATTATGACAATGGCTTCAATGCTGGTCATTTATTATGACAATGGCTTCAATGCTGGTCATTTATTATGACAATGGCTTCAATGCTGGTCATTTATTATGACAATGGCTTCAATGCTGGTCATTTATTATGACAATGGCTTCAATGCTGGTCATTTTATCTTGTTCCAGTATGCTGTTCTTCAGTCTTCCCAACTCATGTTCAAGATACTTCAAAGACAACGCTGATGAAATTTTTTCAAGGAATTTCAAATTTCATCAATAAGTTGTCCAAGTTTCATTGATATACACGAGATTTGGAATCATAACTGCCTTGTACACTAACATTATACACCCACATATATACAACTATTTCTTATATATATATATATATATATATATACCTGTCAGTGTACACAGATATACATATTTATGTGCCCCCTAAGTAAAAGAAAAATATTTATCAAACACATTTCAAAAATTGACCTAAAATTTAAGATTTCTGTCGGTGTCTAGAAAATAACAACTGAGACTATATTTGCCAGAGTTAATGGATGAAACAGATGACAGACACTTTTTATGATGCAATAATTGTTTTCATTTGATTAATCAATATACTTACTTCATTTACATATGATATCCATTTGGTAAGATTTTCAAATGATGATCGGCTACAGAGATCATAGACCAGCAAAACACCCTATAGAAAAAAAAAAGAAAAATCAAACATTGTTAAAATTTCCACCTAAATGCTTAAGAAAAGAGGATTTCAATTCAATCATTTTTTTTAAAAAAAAAAAATCTATTTTATAATAAGAAGCACAATGTAACTTTAAATATTGGTCATGCAGCATGATCTCCCCTACTTAGTAATGAGATACTGTTAATGGGAGGTGTTACTCAAACCTAATAAGTAAATATAGATGTTTTATCATAACAATGGAATATCTCATTAGTAAATAAGGGAGATCAAGTTGTTAATATATTGCTTTTTATTTCTTGTTAGCTTCCTTTTGATTTTTTTACTTTTAATAATTCAGAAAGCAGAATTCTATCTTACATTCTCATTCCATTTATATTCCATTGATAAGAAGGAGTTCCATTTAGACAGTTTCTTCCAGAGAATTGCTACTTTGCAGAATAGACTCCCAAGAGGATGCTTCCTCAATCACAATAATCTTAACTTCAAGTTTATGATTACCAATAATACCTTCAAAATCTGCATTTATTTTCTCTTCTAAAATCTATACAACCACCTCATTTAGTTTTCCCTCTACCATGAGTGGCCCTTGCACTTTGTACTGAGTGAACCTCTTTTAAAAAAAATGTAACGATAGAATTGTATAGATAAATGTTGTAGAGTAGGACCTAGTATATTTCTTGCTCTTCCCTACCACTGTGATAATGGACTGCTCCTACTTATAAATATGGCAAGTAGATACATTAGAGGAGGATTTGAGTGGTATTTGATTTACTCAAGTTTTTCCATTCTATGTATGAGTATTTAATAAACCTCTTTGTTTCCTCAGCTAGTTTGAACAAATAAAACATTACAACACTTTTTTTTTAATTTAAAACTGGATTCTTTAAGTCAAAATGATGGTCCAATTCATCACTGTGAACAATTAATACAGTAAGTATTGTTTTACAAAAGTTATGTTTTGTGTTCATATATTCTTTTATTTAAATTCCTGAAAGTCTCTCTCACACACACACACACATATATATATATATTTTTTGTTGTAGAGTAGGACCCAGCAGACTTACTGCTCTTCCTTACCACTGTGACAATGGACTGTTACTACATGTAAATATGGCAAGTAGCCACATTAGAGTAGGATTTGAGGAGTATTTGATTACCTCAAGTTTTTTCTCTATGCATGAGTATTTAATAAACCTCTTCTTTGTTTCCTCTACCTAATCTTTTGTTCCTTTGATACATTCTCTAACTATGGCCTTCTTAATTATTGGCTATTTTGAACATAGACAACTTTACAATAAAAATCGTCGATTACGCATGTTGTAAAAAAACATGTAGAAAAACTGGCTGGCCACATTCGATGTCTTGAAAAATAAACTAGTAATATTCCATCACTGGCAATTGGATTCAGAACTATCACCAATCACAATGAATGAACCCAGATCTTAAGTGGAACTCATACATACAACCCATTGTTCAAGAGGCCGGAAAAATGGTCACTTCCTTGTGTCACTCTAGTAAGTACCTGTTTCATGCTATCCTATATCATTACAAGAGCCAGATTAGACTCAAAATGGAGTATTGCTGTCATATATGGACAGGAGCTACACGGTCTTCACTTTCCAGTCATGACAGAGTCACAAAGCATCTCCACATCCTTGCGAGTGATGAATTATTTTTCACTCTACAACCCCTTCCTCACAGTCAAAATGTTGCAGGCCTTTTGTTGCTCTATCGCAATTCCCATGGAAAGTGTTCAGACGAACTACACACCTCAGTTCCCCCACTCCTAACCATCATAACTAAGACCCACCATGCTACCCGCATTGTAGGGAACCATCCTCATTCCTTTCGTATTCTATTGGGAAGATGTAAGTTCCACTTGAGCAGATTCTTCCCACAAACTGCTGCTTTGTGGAACCAACTCCAAAGAGGATGCTTCCCCAATCACCACAATCTTAGCCTATTCAAGTTTAGGGCTAACTTTTAATGCCCCCATATATCCACATAAGCTGTACTTCTTACTCTGTAACCCTCTACCTTGAGTGGCCCCCAGGCCTTGTACAGAGTGACCCTCATTGTGGGAAAAAAAAAAAACTATAAATGTTGCATTTAGTCAATCTGACTGATTTGTTAAATAAAACATCAGATTGTAAAATAAAATGCAATATTTGAGTTAATAGTTATATAAAAATTTACATATATAAAACAATGTGTACACATTTATGTTTGGAAGTTATCAAAGTTTGGATTAGCACAAAGTCAGAAGTCAGCATGACTGAGGGTTTGAGCATACTGATCTTGTTCGATTATAGATTATGCGCTCTCTCCTAGAAACTATAAGGTTGACATATACACCACAGGTTGGCTTCAAAGAAGAAACACAAATTTGCCTGTAGCAGGGATTAGCTTGGCTTGCCATCCTAGGACACAGGCACCCTTAAAAACAAGCAGTCATATATATATATATATATATATATATATATATATATATATAATGTTTGTAAAGCATTTTTTTATATTGTAATTTTGTATCCTTATTCTCTTGGTGACATAGAAATAATTACTGTATATTTTCACATATAAGATGACCTTTAAATCCCCAAAATGACCCTTAAAAATTGGGGATTGTTTTATCCTACAATTCTAAAAAAGAAACCTTAAAATAAATTCTGTGTGATGTTTATCTGTAGACTAACCTCGACCTTGGAGAGATAACCAACAACATGCATGAAAAGATTCACATTATCAAATAAACTGATAATAAAAGCAATAAAACCATTTCAACTTTATATATTACTGGCATAACTTCATAATAAATTGCCTATTTGAAGAACAGTTCCATATCAATGAAATCAACTTGTATTTATGCAAGTTCGTCTGAGAAAATGTAAACATCGAGTTACGACTGCATTCACACCAACCATTATCATACATTATCGCACTGTTATTAGCAGTATTTTGTGATTGTTGATGAAGTAAATGGCCATTAGTACACCAGGCTGTTTGTAACTGTTTAGAGATAAGAAAAATGGAGGAAGAAGAATCAGAATTCACAATAGATCACATGTTGAAATGTAAATAAAACAATGGTTTCCCTTTTAAGGGACGTGTGTAGGAAAAACATAATATAGAATCGGTTTTGCTATTTCATTTATTTTGAATTTCTAAGGATGCAATAAGTAACAACATTTCCAATAACATCATCTTTATATAATCAATAAGCAGTCATCTTATACTACAAATATAGGATAAATCCATGAAAATTTACTATATTTTTTTATCTCATCTTCTCTAAAGGTTTCCTTATATGCAGAAATACATGGCATTCAATGGTGAATAAAATATTATTTGGTTAATTTATATTCAATGCTTCCTGAATGTTAAGAAAATGCATGAAAAGTTTTATTTGATAAGTACATTGCAATTTTCTGATGGTATAGATAAACCAGTTCTATAAGAATCTATACTCTTTTCTCTTGTGATGCCTAGAATTATTCCAAAAGGTTTCAAAAAAAAAAAAAAAAAAATGGTTTTTCAAATTTGGTGAAGAAATGAAAATATTAACTGAATTTTAATTATATGAAAAATTAAAGAAAACTTTTTTATCTTATATTTGTTTTTATAGAAATTAATTTCCTTTCATTATCATCTGCCCTCATCTTTACAGGAGATGGGGAACTAAATTGCTTAAACATCACCATCATCTTTTATGTTATATGTAAAATATTATTATAATAAAGCACTTGAAATTAAAAATTGCTTTGACCATTAAAAACACAAAACTATTTTCTTAATGCCTGCCTCTTAGTAAACCAATAAAAATATGTTTGTGATCAGCTTTGTGTGATGAGCCTTGTTGAGAGATTTGTGTAGATTATCAAGAGATAATCTCCTTTAATCATTAGTATTTAATCCTAAGTGCCAACAAAAATGCAGTTTAATCTGCATGAAAATGAAACAAATGAGACTATTGAATAGAATTAAAATTGTTGCTTAAACAAACTGTTAATCCATGTTCAGTAGATCAAGACTTTTGGGGAGAGAGTATACACCAGTGGAAATGATAAAAAGAAAGAAAAGCAAAAAAAAAAAAAAACTATCACATTTATTTCTTAAAGCTTTTGATAAGAAAGTTCTTCAACTTTACAACAGAGAGAATAATGAAACTGGCATCAGAATTGAGTCAATTTCGCTTCAAAATTCTAATTTATTTTTTTTTTAAATGTTCTACCAATTATTTTCATTTTATCCATTTCAAAGAAAAAGTCTGTAGTTTACTTTGGTTCACTTGTGTAAAACAAAATCTCAAGTTCAACCCAGACCCGAAATTGAACTCTCATATACAATCCCGCAATAAAGATTCTGGAAAATTGGTCAGCATCTTGACACCCGACTCATCCTGCCATTAACTTTACAAGAGTCAGCTCAAACCTAAAAATGGAGCTACCCATTCCTCACTTTCCAGCGTTAGTAAGCATTCAAAATCATTTACAAAATCTTGTTGGGAATGACTTACTTTCTGTCCAGCAGCCCCTTTTCCCCAGAGACAATGTCGCAAGCCTATCACTATTTCCAAGGCAAATGTTCAAATGAGCACTCCATTCTTTACTTCTACCACTTCAGACATTTATTACTAGGACCTACCATGCCATTTCCACAGATTTGAAACACCTTTATCTCCTCCTTATTTCAACCGTAAGAGGAAAGTTCCATTCAGACAGCTCCCCACCACACAAGAACAGACTCCCGAGTGAATGCATTCCAAACACTTAATCTTAACCTCATCAAGTCAGCAGTCAGTCATTATCTATCCTACATATCCTTGTGTCCCTCACTTCCCTCCGCCTCTTCTTTTTACTTATATCTCACCTCATTCATCATAACCATTTTAACAGTAACCCATTACCTTGAGTGGCTCTCAGGCCTTGTATTGCATGATATTAATATTTAAAATATGCCAACAAATAGGGTAGTTAGATTTACTGACTCAGTCTCAC